ATCCTGTGCAGACAGGGCAAATTCATGCCACGCTCCTGCCTCCTGCCTCCTAGACTCACTGAAGGGCTCCTTGGGGACTGCAAATTCCGTTTGATTTCATTTCTCCCTAAGCAAAATGCACTCACTGTATCCTAAATTTCCAGAAACTAGTGTCCTTCAGGGTTGCCTCGGAAATTTTAAATGTGTGTACAAGTTCCACCTTCCTCCTCCTTAGTCCTAATCTAGTGTTTGAGATGTCGTGACGGCAGGCTACTCCCTGAGATCAAGCACCGTGAGGCCTTATTCGGTAATGCGGCTGAGTCTCAATGACCCACTCACCCAGGCCCCTTGGATCAGAGCACAATTTGAAAGACAGGTGGCCAGGAGATGGGTCTTACTTCGGTATTTGCATAAAGTGAAGTGAAGACTGGCATTGGCTTTTTAGGCATCACTTAATTAACTATGTTCTTGGTAGCAGTGGAAGCTTGAATCTCAATACTGATGTGAGTTCTACTTGTTATTTTCTGGAAAAAACAAAAGTTTGCTTGTCCAGATCTTCTCCTAGCATATCTGGACCCTCTGAGTATGAATTATAAGCGGACATCCTCTCTGGGCAGATCAGTGACAGCCCTCACTTGGTTGGCCCTTGGATCTTGGGCAGGAAACACCTGTGCAGCTTTTAAGGCAGCTCCCAACCTGCCTGATCTTCAGAATGTGGCAAATTTGCTCCACCAACATACATGGTTGCACCACAGTTATGGGGAATTTGTAGTTATTTCCATTGTACTCAGAGTGAAAAACTAAGTATATTAGTATAGTCCATTGGTGCCTTCCATCATTAGTCTATTTCATTAATGTTGGAATGGTTTTATTTTGGTTTACAGAGTAAGAGTTTTTTAAGAGCAAAACTTTATATTATTTCTTAGGGAGAAGCAGTTTATAAAAGGTCTCTCTTATCCCTCCAAGGATGAAAACAGACCACTGAGTTCCTTGAGGTTAAGAGGATGCTGACAAATTGGCCCCGGCTCCACTGAAGTCAGCTTCCTCTTTCCCCTCCTTCTCCCCTTCAAGCCAGGTAGACTATCACTGCCCGCTGTCTGGGACTGGGCTGCCCCTCACCGAGTGTCTGCCTTCCTGCCTGAAGGAGATCAGCCTAGAATAAATTTCCTTATTGGTTTGGGTGACTGGACCCTCTGAGAATCAGATAAGCTATGGATGGACATTATCTTCAGAAAAATACAAACATTCCTAACTTCCAGTTTTTCTCATGCAGTTTTAGTATGTTCAGGAATCCAGGTCAAGAAAGGGGTTTGAAATCTGTTTTTGTGCTAGTGATCTTCTGGCAGTCTGATGACCTTGCAGGACCCCCGTCTTAGGATAAAAATTTGGTGCATAAAGTAAAATACACAGGCTTTTAAGATAAACCAATTATATTGAAATAGTTATCAAAATTGTAAAACCTTTTGTGATACAGAAATCTGTATGTGCTTTTATGTCAATGTATTAAATAAAAAGATCTAATGGTGAGTCTAATAACCACTGTAATTTTGTACTGATGAGCACAAAAGATACTTTACAACGTCTGCCCCTCTGTGATGTGACATGAAAGCCTCTGTGACTTCCACTGGGTTCATCATTGAAGTGGTGCTAAATTTCAGTTAGAGGTTAGTAAAAATAGAGGGGCATTTCTCTCCTATCAAGATGCTGGACCTTAGGTCAAGAACCCCTGAGACACAAGGATTCTGAGTGTGGCTGGTTGGGTGTGGCTCTGGGTCTGGCTGCCTCAGCCCCTTCTGTCTCAGGCCACAGGGAGGACTGTGGGGCTCCTGTTTACCGACTGAGACAAACTGAGCCTATCGTGATTTTTATATTCTGTTAGAAAAATTAAAGGGGGCACTCACAGTGGCTTCTGTCCT